ATGTTGCAAGAACGAGGGTGTGGCCGATGATTCCCGCGAGTAATTATCGATCACTGAGGCGTAGTCCAGCGAAGATTCAGCATAGTCCGAGCTGGCAGCCGTCGTGGTCGACACTGAAAGAGCACTAACGCCGAGCGGCGGCAACTGGTAGACATGCGAAACGAGCGTTTCCAATGAACTTGAGCCGCAGATACCCCCCTGAACAGCAGTGGGTGTGACTGTGGGCGTGCCTGCGGTTGACGTCGCTCCAATTGCGGTTTTCGGCAGCATCAGGAAGCAGCCGAGGGCATTGTGGTTCAGTTTGAGAATGTCGAAAATGTTTTTATCGCCACGCCGCAGCTTCCTCTCCGGCTGCTCCTCCGATGACAGCTCCATTACATCATCATCTTCATTGTCCAGCATTTCCACGGGTATCGAATAGATTTTGGCAAACTCATTATAAAAAAATTGGCTCGTCTTCAGCAGTTCAAAGTTCAGGGTCCATTGCAGGGCCGTGATGTACAGGATATCCGCCGGCTTGTGTCCCGCAAGCTGTGGTAGAGGATCGGAAGACTCATCCAGCCAGAACTTGCTGCGCGTCTGCTTGGAGCACTTTTGGAGGAGAGCCTGAAAGAGCTGCGAGGCTTGATCGCTGCTATTCAGCTGCAGTTGGATCAGTCTTCTACTGAGGGTGATCTGCTCTTGGCTATTCTCCCCAAGGAAAGCGATATTGTCGATGCCCACTTTAATCAGGTCGCATACGCCTCTCTGAAGTTCCGGTATGGCCAACAGATCCTGCATATAGCGTATGTTCTCCTCGTTGTAGAAGGCCTTAACCAGTCGAATGTCACTCAGGTACATCACAAATATGCTAAGGCATTCGTGCAGCGCCCGATAGTTGTCCAGTTTGCTGGGTATCTGCAGGGGCGCCAGCTTTAAGGCGTCCTTTCGCTGTTTGTCCTCACTCTCACTCCGCTCTTTGTACTGCCGGAAAATAGGGAGTGCCACCTCAGCTAGTATACCCGCAGCCAAGTCGTAGGACAGAAGGTAGGCAATATGCTTCAGGTGCTTCAGAAACAGCAACATCGATTGAGTGTTTAGCAGTCGTTTGTAGTTCTCCTTGTATACATTGAGCAGTTCCAGATGGAAGCCAGGAGATTTGAGCTTCTCCTCGCAGCTGGGACACCCCTGGGGCGCACGCTTTACAAATATAGTGTGCAGCACGTTGTAGTGGAGGAATTTGTAGGCGCATTTCTGATATGTGCTCGACAGTCGAGTGGCCAGCTGCAGGCAGGTGGCATAGTTTTTGGCATTGTAGTGGCAGCAACAGCTCCCAGTGCGCAGCAAACTCCTCACACTATGCTCTTGGAGCTCGGAATCCAGGGAGGGCAGCAGCTGGTACAGCTTACATTGGAAGAAACAGCTCAAGGAGCTGCTGCCCAGGCAATGCAATTGACTGCTGCGCTGTCGCTTGTGGCGGTGCTGCTGCTGCTGCTTGGTCAGCGCCGTGGACGTGCTGCTCTCCATGAGGCACTGCTGGTGCTGCTCCTGTCTTGATAGATTGTCCGTCAGACGCAGCAGCATCTTGTAGATGTGCAAAAAGATGGCCGTGGAGGAGGTGGTCGTTTTGGTTGCTGCCGCCTCTTGCAGAACATCAAAGCAAGCATCAAAGTTGCGCACATCGATTTGATTGAGTTCTTTGACCCCATTGTCAACGAGATTGTGCAGTGTGCCAAACATTATGAAGAGCACGCCATGCGCCAGCATGGGACATCTTTGATTGGCCCTCAAAGCATACAGCAGCTGACTGAAGTTGCTGTTGAAGTCGTGGACATTAGGCTGCTGCTGCTCGTGGACGTAGAAGTTGTTTACGCAATGGGCAATCAGTTGAAGCAACTCGAATTTGATGATCTCATCGTTGTCACGGGGAGAGCAGTCATCGTCTTCGAGATCTGCGCTGGCGGAGGCGCACAGATGACCGAGTGCAAAGTTGTGGACTGTGACACTCAGCTGCGACTCTTGCTCGGCATCCACGCAGCGGGTCAGCAATTGGATGAGCAGTAAGGCCAGTTCATCGCTGCTTTTCGAGGCCCTTTTGAAGTCCTCAATGTTTGTGATATTTTTACTGGATATGTGATTCCATAATTGACATTTTTGTGGCGGCTGCTGCTGCTGTTGCTGCTGGCGGCGTGCCGCCACCTTTTTGCTCTGTGAATTGAGGTAGAAGCTGCTAATGAACTGAGCAATGCCGGTGAGCGGCTGCAGCGGCTGATTTGTTTCACTCCATTTGCAATTGGGGAACAGATTGATGCACAGCTGACAGAGGCTCTTCTGTGAAGCGATGTGCTGCAGTAAAAAAATGATTCAATTAGCATACATATGTATAATGTATATTCTGTATACATATGTACTTGCCTTGATATCCACGCGCAATAAGAAGGCCAGCAAATGATGACCCAACTTATCGGTGAGAAATGTTCGCAAGGCGAGAATCTTATTACAATCACTGGGTGTGCTGAGTATAAGCTGAGAGAAAGTGATCAACATTTATGGTCGCAATTGATAGAGGAACACCATTGATAGTGGCTATTGCTGCAAACGAACCTGCGCTAAATTATGCTGCTTACGCAGCTGCTTGATGCACTTATCCTGCTGCTCTGGCTCTGTCTCTGACTCTGGCGCCTGGTCTGGGCTGCTACCCTGCGATCGTTTGGCTTCGCTGATGATTTGATAGACCTGCTCTAGGAGATAGGAGCAAAGCTCCTCTGGCATTAGGTTAAAGTGGCTGCAAAGAAAATAACAAACCATGAGAGGGGACTATAGAGACGGCAGCACATTTATGTACCTATTGAGCCAGGTTTCTTCCAGCGCCCGATCATCCAGGAACTGAAAGTTATACAGCAACAGCCAGAGCCAGTGGTCCTGTCATTGAAGGGAAAACAAACGATAAGAAGAATAATCCATGCTCTTGGCATATCAATGGAGGAGTACAAACCTTGACACTCGCTTCTTCGTGCTCCGCGGCATGTAGATAATGACTCCAGAGTCTGATCAGTGTATCCAGCAGCAACTGGCGGTGTTCCTTCTCCTTTGCCAGCTGCTGCTGCTGCTGCAGCTCCTCTTCGGCCATGGTAAATCACAGATAATGGCAAACGTGCCTCCCAACTGGCTGACGAGTTCTCTCCGCTTCACCAAATCCTCGTGCATCGGGCAACGTTGTGGACGCACTGAGCGTTGAGACCAAACTGAACGGAGGCGATCGAAGGAGAACGCCAGCTGTAATTATTAAAGCGAATCATTAAGCAGTAAAATCTGTGTCTTCTGTATGCGTCTGCCAGAGGAGGAGAAAGAGGCGACGATGCGTGATTATTTGCCCAGAGGCGGCCAGGCCGGTGATGCTGATAATTTGGAGTGGAAACTTTAGTTGTTTAGCTGGTGCTGCTGCAGGAAAACTATTAAGATTGCTATTTATAGAGCGGGGCAGCAGCTTTGCAGTGGCATTGCATTCTGTTGCTAAGCCGGCAAAAGATAGTTGCTTGTATTGTTGGTTGTAGGGGACAGCAGGGCAACTGGTGGGTGGGTGCAATGGCTCTGCCGTTCTAATGCTTCTGCTTCTGGTGCTGCTGCAGCTACAACCGAGTAAACAGCTGGCAATGATGCGTGTCTGTAACGGCCACTGGTTGCGGCGATAAGGGGCAATCTAGAAGCAGTAGGAGACCGCATCGATGCAAGCTAAAATCACTTGATTGATTTCTGCAAGAGAGAAGGTTTTTTCCCGCTGATCCATTCATTCCACTGCATTATCGCCAAAGATACAGCGGTTACAGCCAAAGAGAGGTTCCATTTCTCTACTGCGCAGAACAGAATTATACCTCTCGCTAGTCATCAAATATGAATGGAGTGCATCTAGTATATGGGAAGTACATAAAAAATGAATTTTCATAGCTTACCAGAAAACGAAACGAAAACAAAATAAGAGAAACGAAACAGCAAGAACAAGCTATTTTAGAACGCCATTTTGGTTGGTTCTTTTAGTTTGTTTTATGTGTCTCTTCTTTGACTCTTTCCTTGCGTCCCGCGAGTGCGTTTGTTATTATTTAAACTATATTTGTTGTTGTTTTTTACACTTGTTGTTGCTCTTTTCAATGTGTTGGGGGTACGACTAGTGTAACTGACCCTCAGAATATACTGAAATATACTGACTAATTTTCAAAATATACCGTAAATACCCCTCTGAAAAATGAACTAAGCCCACTAGACACCACTCTTTTTAAAAAGATGCACAACTAGAGTTAAAGCGCGGAAAATAATGCGAATGAGAATAGTAATAATTACTCTTGTGGTACCATACTATGCTTTATCTTTGCTTAAAAAAAGACCACGATATCATTCACCTAAGCTGCGCTAAAATTATTTAAGATTCAACTTTTTGTGGAGTGTACTTTGATACCCACTGGGCGACAATTGGCTAATCGTTCTGTGTTCATGATCGGAAATCATATTCCTTAATTTTGATATTCGGTTGAATATGAATAAACATAATTTTGTCGTAAATAGTGCCTCAGTTATTCGACTGCTAGCCGGAGACGTAGCGGCTAACACTAATCTTGGGTTTGGTCTATAAAGCATCTCAAATTATCGCAGCAAATTTATCTAAGTCTAATGTCATACAGCTATTAGGATAGTATTTCCTAAAACTATAGCAGATAATCCAACCTGATTTCCGTGTAGTTTTTTCCCGAGATAATTTTCTAAATTTATTGAAAGTTAACTAATTTCCCCAATCTGAAAACATATTAAGATAAACAAAAGTTCACATTTTCGGTATTTTTTAAGTATGAATATAGTAGAAAACGAACGATAAAAGTCCGAACTTTTATACGGTTACACTGATACACACACACACTGGATTCAATACATGCGCTGGATGCTGCTTTTTCCAGACCAAAGGTTTTTTGGTTTTTCTATCAAAATTTGTTGATTTTAAAACAACAAAAACTACACCCCAACCAATTGTGGCAGTACAGTGTAAAAATAAAGTTGGAATAATTTGCCAGTGAAATACAAAGTGAATAAAATTCTCAGCAAAAGAAATCGCAATCGTCACATCTTTTCGTTTGCACACCAATACCAACATATTACCATAATAGCCAAGGCAAAGAACTAATACAGCTGCAAAAAAACACAACACCCAACACAAGAAAGTGAACTAATCGAACGATCGAAAGTCTACGTCTACGTCTGCGAGTGCCAAGGTACTTTTAGTACTTTTAAATCGATTTACGCTCTGTGCATTTCTACGTAAGAGTAGCATACCATTTGGAAATATTACGCAAGTACTATTTCTGGTTATATCTGTTGAATAATCATGGCTCAGTAAACATGAATCCTCAACGAGAATATTTTGCCCAACGCACTCCGTGTGGAGACAAAAGCAAGACGCAATTTTCTGCCGATTGGCAGGTATCTAATACTATCGCCCCCACTCCCCCCAATTCCTCTTACTTCTACGAGCAAAATGGACAACAGCAACAGCAGCAAGAAGCAACAACATGCCAGAGCGAGCAAATCGTCTGGTGAGACCCAACGCAAGTCCAGTGGTGAGTGAAGAACGAGATCCATGTATATCCAATGAAAGAGATAGATAGATTGCCATCATGCTCTAGCTATACTCTATCTATACATGTATGTGTTTGTCTCTCTTGCTTATTTACTAAACAACCTGTCTGTGTTCCCAATCAGAATTGCAGAACAACAAACAGCGCAATAGCCGCAGACGCGAGCAGCTTCCAACGCCGCGCAACGACCAGCAACAGCAGCCGAGGCACCCCAAACAGCAGCAACAACAACAGCAACCTGCTAAACTTCGTCCCAATGTGGACAAGCGTCCAAGGGCGCGAGGCAGCGGCGGTGGCGGTGGCAGTACTGCGGGCTACTATGGCCCTGCCGATGGAGCTTACGATGGCCCTGAATCCGGGCATCACGACGGGGCTTACGGCGGCACCGGACTAGCAGCCACTAGTGGCGGCTACCCGCGTAGCGACTTTGACTATGAACTAAACTCTGTGTACGCGCAGGGCAGCAAGAAGCAGAACCTGAACCATCTGCTCAACTTCCATTGTGTGCCACGCGATGCGTCGGACACTAGAAATGGCCATGGACGCGCTGCCGGTCATTATCACCATCACAATGCAGGGCGCAAGCCTCGCTACAACAAGGAACAGTTCCTGCAGGCCAATTTTCAGTTTGTCATTCGGTCGGGGGCCAAGGCCCATGTAAATGGCTCACCGGACACTTTGATCGACTGGAACTTCATTGAGCAAATCAACATCCAGACCACGGAGGAGCCACAGTGCCCCATTTGTCTGTATCCCCCGGTGGCTGCCAAGCTCACACGCTGCGGCCATGCCTACTGCTGGCCCTGCCTCTTGCACTATCTCTCGCTGAGCGACAAGACCTGGCGCAAGTGCCCCATCTGCTACGATGCCATCCACGCTGGCGATCTGAAGAGCTGCACCATTGAGCAGCAGCATGCAATGAATGTGGGAGATCGCATCACCTTCCAGCTGATGCGTCGTCGCAAGGGCTGCATGTACATCGAGCGGCACGGTGTAATCGTAGGTGAATTCGGCGAACGATTCCCCCTGCTCAGTGCTGGTGACGAGGCCAAGCGATACTCAAAGTTTTTAATCGCCAAGCGGGCTGATGTTGCGGCCATCATCGAAAGGGAGCGGCGCGAACTATTGGCCGAGTCAGATGCATCCTGTCCGGAGGATATATTCATCCAGCAGGCACTCCTAATGCTGAACGAGCGCCTCGAGAAGTTGGGCCTCAAAGAGGATGAGGAGTCGCCGCTGGAGGAGCAGCCACTACCACCAGCAGCTCTCAGTCTGGAGAACGAAAACAAAAATGATATTGAGAAATCGGACGATGCCTCCATCTCATCGGGCGAGGCATCCAGCAGTATTGGCAGTGCACACAGCGGCAGCAAATACTACTATTTCTACCAGTCGAACGATGGACAAAATATCTACTTGCATCCCCTGAATGTGAAGATGCTGCAGGCCTGCTATGGCACTCTGGATCTGGGTCCACTCCTGATTGAGTCGCAGATCCTGCAGAAGGAGCAGCACTCCATGGACGAGGAGCATCGCCGAAAGTTCACTTGCTTGGGACATTTGCCCCTCACGTGTCAGTTTTCTGTTGTGGAAGTGGAACTCCAACCACCAGTCGTCTCTGGGGGAATTCTCAAGTTGTTTAAAGGTGAGTTTGGCCGGGTTTGATCGTCTGCTAAAGAATCCCCACTTAAAACTTAACATGTACTTTCATTTCCAGAGGATCTTTTGCATCGCAAGAAGGAGCGACAGCGTCGCGATCGCGAAGAACGCAAGCGGGAGCAGCACATCAATGAGATCAACGATCGCCAAATGGGAAAACTGATTGCCAGTGCAGCAAACCTAAATCTTGAGTCTTCCCATGAGTTTCCTACTGTAAGCTTTCCTTCTCAATTGCACAATTTCCGTATTGCTACATCATTTGTTTGCCTCTGCAGTGTGGCTTTGAAGAGGCCTTGCCGTCGCCCAGCGGCGTAACGCCAATGATCATCAGACAGGAGAGCAGTGCAACCAACCCCAAGCAGGAGCTGTGGCCCACCATCGGCAGTTTCTCGCCAGTCAGCAGCAGCGGCAGCGCTATGAGTTCTGTAGGTGCCTGGGGACGCTCGGCTCCTCCTCCAGCACCAAGGGCCATGCCATCGGCTATGTCACGAGATGAAAACCCTGATCAGCGTTCGGTGGGCCATTGGGGTCTGGGCGAGTTGCTCGTCGGAGCTTTGGATCAGCAGCAGCAGAAGCAGCAGCAGCCGCGAGGTGGCAAGCCCCAAAAGAAGGCCAAGGCCAAGAAAATGGTTCCACTGTTTGCCATGGGCATGAACAGAGCTCCTTAAAAAAGGAGAAGCTAAAATTAGCGAAATTATTGTACAACCATGTACGTTTTTTTTTTTTTATGAATACTTCAAAGTTATTTCAAATCAACGATGGATATTTGAACTATAATTTAACCAACATTTTATCCATAATACACATATGCATAACTATATCAAGTTAATCCAATAAAAGCAGCAAGCATACTCGTACTAGGAATTCAGTGTATAAAAATACACGGTTGAAAGACGCTTAATCATAAAAAAGAGAAGGGGCCACCACAGCAGGTCGTCTGTCGTCCAACATTATTTTGAAACAATTTTAGGCTTAACCAAATCGAATTCCTGTGGTGGGGCTCTCGTGGAACCCAGGTCCACCACGGGGAAGCTGCTGGAACGGTTCAGATTTCCGAGATCGGCCGCACCAGAGCCATGCCTTCGAGAATCAATGCCACTGTCACTCCGGGCTACCGAATGGGACTCTTCATACTCATCGTTGGAATCGCTGCCGTCCGGGGAATGCATTGCCGATGGATCGTCGCCATTAATCGATGCTGTCGAACTCCAAGCGCTCATTATTTTGCCCTTCGACTCGTTCCAGAACGAGTGCAGACGATCGCGTCCAAAGGCCTGTAGAAATGCGTCGATAAACTCGCGCGACTTCTCTTCCCATTTGGCAATGATGTCGACCTTCACCCTCTTGCCGCGATCCTTCAGTTCGTCCATTTTATTCTGCAGACGGAACTTCTTTTCGGAGAGAAATGAAACGTTCAGCTCCTTGGCGGAGTAGCCGCGGGCCAGATTGCGACGGACATAGACATCGTAGTCCTTTACGATGCGAGCCACAACGTCCGATGTGGACACACCCTCAGTGCGTTCGGTGGCCACAAACATGCCGCGTGCCTTCAGCGGAGCATATATATCATTAACGCCCCCAGCGCCGTATGGAATGTCATCGTGGGCCACAAAATCAATTTTGTGCTCAGTCAGAAAATCATCGGTAAGTGTCCAGGGAGCATTCGGAACCACCTATGGGCACAGGAGAGATTTAAGTACATATCCCTGTTAGCTTTTTTGAGACGCACCTCATCCACATAACGACAATGACGGACTGCCTCGTAGCGCTCAAAGCCATTCATCACTGTGCGACCCTTCATTTTCAGTGTCAGCTCATCGTTGCACACTCCAACAATCAGATAGACATTCGGAAATATATTCTTGGCCTGCATCAGCTGCCTGGCATGGCCCTGATGGAACAGATCATAGATGCCATCGGCATAGACGCGCACCCGACGCTTCGACTGCCCGGAATGGGCCATCTCGTAGCTGATCCGTTGAGTATAATCACAGCCATTCAGCTCATCCAAGGCCTGAACATCGTTGGCAAAGGGACACGGCTTGCAAAACGGCTAAAAGGCATAGAAAAGGTATTTGAAAATGGTTACCTTTGGGACTGACTCTCTGGCTCTCTGCCTTACAAATTTGTCAAAGTTCATGTCATATAGGGGCAACGTCGGGAATGATTCCCATTCCGGCAGCTCAGAATCCGTTGAGTCTACATCCTCCAGCAGTTTATCCATCTGGAATTCATAGGATGGCGTTGATCGCCCAGACCTTGACGCTGGCGAAGGAGTTCCATGCTCCGATGATGACGGAGAGGCTTCCTCCTCGATCAATTTATCCATTTTTGTTTTGTTTTATTTTTTCGAAAATATAGAAAATGCAGAACTGCAGCCAACTGGAACCGCTCGTGATACTTCCAAATGGGTGACTGATTATATAAAACCGTTTCTTTTCCACACCAAATGCTCGGCACACTCTGATGAGGATTGCAAGAGCGGCAGCTCCAGGGTTCGAGAGTTGCCCACAAATTGCGCAGCGCCTATCAAAATTAATTGGCGGCAAAGCCAATTGAGGCTCGGGAGGAGGCTGGCACAGGCACACGACTTGAGGCATAGTAGCGACCCATTCTTATGGTCTGTGTCTACAAAGATCTCTGTCATCTCTCAATTGCCATAAATTGAGGCGCAAACAAATAGGAAGTGCCTCCGTGATGGTCGCCTGACTCTTGGCACGGGGGTACAAATCAGGCGATACATACATATGTATATAAACTATATAGATAAATCTACAAAGCCATTAAACAAATCACTGAACCAGAAGACCAATCAAAAACTATTGTTTCATCATCGTTCGGCACCAATAGAGCGGCCATTCGAAATGATTTTCATAATTATATGAAAGGGGAATGAATACAGTACTATTAAAAAACGGAAGCGAAAGGTATCAATAGGTAAATAAGAGATATAGTAAATCTAATACTTCTGTAGAGGCCTTGAAGGTATTTTAAACTATATTAGATGGTACATAAAGTATTCAGATTACAAAAACTAATTTTGTCTTGCACACTATCCGTTTCGTGCCCGCCTCCTAGGAGGAGCCGTAACATATACCCTCAATAATTAGATGAACTATTTTCCAAAAGTTTTCTTTCGATTCAAGGTTTATTTTTCAAAAAATATTTAACAAAGCATTTGCAATAATTCCGATATTGCCATGTGTTGAATCATGTTTCTATTTTTTGTTTTTGAATGCGTTTTGGTTTTCTCTATGATGTTGGTGTTCTGTTTGTTGGTTAACTTATAGTTATAGTGTATGCGAAATAATTTAATATAAATATTTCTAGATATTTCCGGTATCTTCTACTACTCTTCTGCTGTTGCTGCACGCACACGAGCAACAATCTCTGTGGCCGAGTGCTTAATACAAAAATGAGTCTTTTCTGCATTGGTTTTTTGTTCCAATAATGTAAGCCCCATATACATTTTGCGAGTCGCGGGATTCGGGAATCGGTGAATGGTGTATCGTGCTGTGCGCCTTCACTCCATTTGGCTAAAATTAGCTAAAGGATCTGATGGGTAGATAGGGGATCAGGGATTGAGAGTGAGAGTGAGGTATAGCCGAGTGATAGCGAGTGCGAGTGAAAACTAAAGACTAATTGGATTACAGATACCATTTAGAGCTATGTGTAAGTAGAGGTGAATCTGGATGAGCCTGCGAGGAGGGACGTTTCCCTCTCCGATCCCATAGAAAGGAAAAGAGAGGTAGAAAAAGTTCAGGCTAGTTCCAAAATCTAAAATCATTCGCCTCAATTGACGGAGCGTCTCTCAAACTCCACTTCCTGATCGACGGCCTCCGTTTCATCGTCATCATCATCGTCATCGTCGTCGTAGGTGTCCTGGTAGCTCCGACGTGCCAGAGCGGACCTCTTCTTATGCTTGCCATTAAGAGAACTACTACTGGCCGCACTGTACTCCGCGAGTTCCAAGTACTCATCGCTGGACTCTGTTTCCTCGTCCTCGTCGCCCTCGAGCTCGTCACCATTGACCGATCCAGAGGGACTACCGGGCGGACTTAGGGCCTGTATCAGCTTTCCCTTTGACTCGTTCCACAGATGATTCAGACGCTCGCGGCCAAAGAGCAGCAGGAACGTATCGATAAACTCGCGCGACTTCTCCTCCCACTTTGTGATGAGGTCGCCCTTCACTTTGGTCAGCTCCCGCTTGCCCCGTGACTTCAGTTCGTCCATTTTATTCTGTAGACGGAACTTTTTCTCGGAGAGAAATGAAACGTTCAGCTCCTTGGCGGAATAGCCGCGTGCCAGATTGCGACGCACATACAAATCGTAGTCTTTAACGATTCGGGCTACAATGTCTGATGTGGACACACCCTCAGTCCGTTCGGTGGCCACAAACATTCCACGAGCCTTTAACGGGCCATAGATATCGTCCATGCCTTGGGTTCCATAGGGAATGTCGTCATGGGCAACAAAATCTATTTTGTTGTCAGCAATGAACGCATCGGACAGTGTCCAGGGAGCATTCTGAACAATCTGTGGAGGGCGAAAAGGGTAGGGTTATCAAGGGTTGAATCGACCTGCTTACGCTGAGCACTCACCTCATCGACATAACGACAATGACGAACACCCTCGTACCGCTCAAAACCATTCATCACAGTTCGTCCCTTCATGCGGTGCGTTAGCTCGTCGTTGCACACTCCGACAATTAGATAGACGTTGGGAAAGATGTTCTTGGCCTGCATCAGCTGCCTGGCATGGCCCTGATGAAACAGGTCGTAGATGCCATCGGCATAGACGCGCACACGACGATTCGTCTGGCCGGAGCGGGCCATTTGGTAGGTGATACGATAGGTGTAGTCGCAGCGATCTCGCTCCACCATAGCCTCCTCGTCGCAGGAAAACGGGGCCGGCTTGCAAATGGTCTATAAAATAGAAAAGCCAAATTAATATTGAATGGGATTTCATCTTTCGAGTGTCCCAGTGCTTACCGCAAAGTCAGATGTACCGCTAAAGGTCTGCTGCGATGTGGATGCAGCTATAACGGGAGGCGCCTGTGGCTGTGGCACATATTTGCGCTTCACTCCGCTGAGATAATCCGCCGTCGATGTAGCGGCGGGCAGAGTGTCCTCGGCGGCGGCAGCCTCACCGTCATCGTCTGGTTCGCACTGTGAGATGGTGCGCGTGCAGTCCCTGAGCGTGGTGGCCGAGGTGGTGGGCTCTGCGGCGCCATCAACGACGACACTCTCCAGCTGGCCATTGGACTTGGCCTTGCCGGGTGATCGAGAACCGGGGCTAGTCGTGCGCTGATCTTTGGCATCCACCACAATGGTGGTGGTGGTAATGGGCGACGTTGATGGTGAGGTGGAGGCAGAGGCGGGCATGGCGATGGCCGTCTCGTATGTTCGTTTCCGCGTGGTCAGCGTCGAAGTGATCAGGGGCGTGGCCGGCGGGGAGGTAGCTGCCTGTGATGTGTTAATTGTGTTGTTGGTGTTGGCGAGTATCGATGAGGTGGCCATCGCAGCGAATGTTTTGGAGCGGCAGTTTTAACGATTTCCCTTAAAACACTTGTGGGTGGATCGGAGGAGGCGTTCACTGTTGACTGCTGTGTTCGTGGAGGAGGAGATTCACGTGCGTCCAACTGCAAAAATAAGGGGAATAACGGTTAGAATGCCATTCAGGTAATTTGTTCTGCTGGCAAAACAACACGTGACGTCGCATTTCTCCCGTTGCTGCGCAATTGCAGCGGTAGCGGCACCGTGGCACCATGGTCGAATCAATTTATTTTTAATTGCCAAACCGAATGATTCGATTCGCCACGCGCACATCGAACCACTGAAATTCCTCAGAAATCAGCAGCAACAGAAATAAATCACAACTAAAGAAAGAACAACTACAAACGCATTATTGGCACGTACATTCAACCAGGCAGTGCAAAGAAGAAACGGCAACTAAAACTAAAACAACGGCACTGTGAAAGCGCAGCAGCCGCTTGGCTTGGGTGGGCGATAGGGAGAGGGAGATGGAACTAGTTCCACCATTAGCGCATTAGCTGCACTTCATTGTTGCCACTGCTGCAATCTCCCGTTTTACATAAACAAAACGAAACGGAGAGATTCGAATGTGAGTCAGAGAAGGCAGCTACGATGACCCAATCGGGGTGCCTGGACTCTCTCTCGCTCCCATTCAGTCAGCTGTTCGCTGCGTGCTCCAAATTAATTTCGGCCATGCCATGGTATGTTCAACAGGAGGTAAGGCTGTTGTGCTAGTTTTGTTTGTCACCATCTCTTACCATCCCCCACACAAACACATACTTATGCGAATGTAAACTTTTTTCGAGGCCAACCCCTCGCACTGTTTTACCTTCTTATTAATGTACCTTGAAGCAGTCAAACGATTTCTCATACCCATGTTTATTCAACATAAGAGACATATGTACATACACATGCACACATTTATCTATTGCCGCTTACGTCTGAATATTTCTTTGGCATTGAGGTGATCCTATTACGTCAGAGATGTTTGAGGCGCAGGTACGGTACCCACCCGTGTAGTATTCCTTTCTTATCTGGAAATCAACAGGCCATTTGATGATAAGCACAAAATCCAACCGAGACCCAAATGGCTGTTTCTTGGAATCGTACTTTTGCCCGCTCAAGGTCTGACTTAGCTCTGATTCACCTGGAACCGGCTTCGCGACAGTTCAAGTTCAACTCTTGGCTTTGGACCAAGAGAACAAGAAAGAGAGAGCGAGAGAGATCTGTGCTCTGATGTAAGCTGTATTTTAAACATCGAAAAATACGTGCATGTACAAACATGTTAATTCTGTTGCCAGGCAAAAGGAAAAGTGTGGGGCAAGCAATCTTCAGTTGCGATCAACGTCACAAGGCGGAGAGTCGTACGATCGATCCACTTGTCGGCAGAGCAGAGGATGACGGTGCGCCGTATGTAAGTAAAATGAATCAAACGTAAACAAACGCACAAGAGAGAAAGCGATGAGTGTGCGTACTTATATGAGTGGGTGGATGGATGTGTTAGACCAGTAAAAACGATTTGCCAATTGACAGGCGGTATGCACTAAAGTAAGCGACAGATAAGATTGTTACTGTTGTTCTTAACTTATCTGGAAACGGGACTTCCGCTGCACTCGCAACGGGGGAGTAACAAATGGGTCCGATAGGAACACGATAAATGGAATTTGGCGGAAGCCGTCCATGTGTGTCTATAGACACAAGCTATTTGATAAGAATCGTAGGACATTCACCAACACCACCCAGCCCCCCCTCCCAAACCAATAATCGTTCAGCCGGATCTGGCAAGTGAGGCAAAATTCGAGGGAAACCAAAGTTCATTATCATCACGCGCTCTCCAGCCAGGTCTCAGGTTAAGCCTCCCTTTCCCCCCACACATGTGGCATACTAACAGGCCAAAGAACTCTGCAGAATCTCAGAGAACGGCGAAACAAAAATGGTTAGTTGGCATTTTGTTGGAGTTTGCCTTTTGCCAGCTCGTTCGCGTTGGCCAAAAAAAAAGGTTGAAAGTACAGTTCCAGCAAGTTGAACCTACCCTCCTCCTCCAACTGCTGCTCCGTTCCGATCTCTACGCTCTTCGAGTGTTTTTCCCCCATTGATGATAAGCCCCCACTCTCTGGACTATGTATACAATGAATATGACTTGTATTAATATATTTGCATTGATAACCTTCGGCTGGGTGGTGGGCATTTATTATCAATGATGAGTATGTACTCCAAAAAAGATTAGTTGACGTCAACTGTGATTTGGATGCTGTTCGAAGTACGTGAGAATATGGGGGAAATGTCCACAGGAAATGGGAACGCTATATATGCACGTATGTCCAAAATCCCAACTATACTTTCAGTAATTATATTTCATACCGGTGTTCTCCACATGTCCATAGATAATCTTATCAAACATTTTAATTGCACAATGCTCTCTTCACACTTTGATTCAGAAAGCACACATACACATGCTGTCTCTCTTTCGTACACACATTCCCTCTCTCACGTAAAAGCTTCTCCTACGCATGATATACAAATTTCATTGAGTAGAGCTGAAACAGCTGACTGATTGTGCGTGTGATCACCCTCAATCGCTCTTTCTTTCCTTCCTTCTCTCTGTTATGTTTCACACAGGCACCCGCGACATAGTGGTGTACCCCCACGGTGAAATATAATCGTCGCTTGGGAAAGTAGAGCGCAGCACATTGTTTGACAGCCATGACTAATGCTTTCGCAAGTGTGCAAAATGGCAAGGTTTATTATTAACCCCCATTATGATGGTGGTGAGGATGATGCTACTTCCACTGGGGGAAATCGTACGATCGCAGTGCAAAGTTCGGTGAGTGGTGTTGACGCGTCAGAGTGACGTGTGGAAAGGGAACTAAACGAAAGAGGGGGGACGTTGCAAGCTACACACCAAAAGTCATACGACCGACAAAGCAGCGCCCGTGGTGGCGGTGTATTTTCTTCAAAGAGTGACGTGGCGGGTAGGGTCGGCTAGCATTGGCGTCGTCTTGCCGGCGAAACAAAATCGATAAGTGTCAGCAGCTGTTCGGGAGGGAATAAACAGAGAAACGTCTAGGGCGAGACGATTATGTAAACAAGCCTTCAAGGCTGGCGATTGTCGGGTAAAGCTCATTGCGATCAAATCCAAATCGCAAACGCACATTTTAAAGAACCCAAGCATAATCTTCAAGCGAGCTGACATTTCGCGCGGAGAGAGCGAAGAAACCGAGAGAGAGAGGGACCGAGAGAAATGTTAAATCGCTCACGTCACAGGAGCATGTCGTAGTCGTCAGCAGAGTGTAAATATTTGATATCTGTGTTAAAACATATTTTTGTCTTCCCCGGATCCAATCCAATCACAGGTTTCGTTTCACTCACACAACTTACTTTCTTCCCAATTGAAACGTTGATTTTGTTAAATCGCTTGGCTTAAAATCGGTTTGCGCTTTGATTTGCTATTTAATGCCCGGCTGGAATGACGCACCACTAATACTACGTGTAGCACTTAATTAATAGTTCACTAGTTTATTTATTAGAGCACCGCACCACCGCCAACTACTTTGTTTGTTATTTTAAGCCGAGCAGGTGTGACCGCGGACTTAACAATAAAATCTACGGTCTGACCCTTAGAAATATATCGAAATATACGTCACAGTTTCAAAATATACTGAAAATATACTGAGTTAGTATATTCTTATGGAATTATTTCTATCATATTCCTCGATTTTGATATTCGTTTTAATATTACTAAAGGGCAAATTCTTTAGATATTTTTATTATTAAATCAAAACATTCTTTTTACTTTAAGCTATGGCCTAATGTTCCTAAGGTTCATTCGGTATATTTACGGTAAATTTTATTTTAAATCCGCGGTCACACTGTATATTGCCCGTTAGTGGCCTCTCTTGTTGACTTGTTTTTGTTTAAACCTTATTTCATAATCAAAACAATAAAGATGTAAACTTAAATTTAATCAGTCTTGTAGGAAATTGAATTAATAATTGGATTAAACTATGAGTTCAGAGCTGAGGGTCTTTATCTAGTTACTAATATTCATCCGAATATCAAAAACGTGGAATATGATGCAAGTGCAATACAAATAATTCGTCAGTATATTTTCGGTATATTATGAAAATGAGACGGTATATTTCTGAGGGTCGACCGCATATTTCATCGTTTGATGCCATTCACACAAAAAATTGCGGGAACTTGTTGAGTGCGAAAGCGGAGCGCGACTTTACGAAATGCAAATATGACCACGACTCGCAGCCATGTTTGCATGCAAAACAAATACGATCGGGTGGTCCTGCTGGTGGATATGGACTGCTTCTTCTGCCAGGTGGAGGAGAAGCAGCAGCCCGAATACCGCAACAGACCCCTGGCCGTAGTGCAATACAATAAATGGCGCGGAGGCGGCATCATCGCAGTCAACTATGCAGCGCGGGCCAAAGGAGTGACCCGGCACATGCGTGGCGACGAGGCCAAAGATCTGTGCCCCGACATCGTGCTCTGTCAAGTGCCGAACATCCGGGAAAAGGCGGATACGAGCAAATATCGCGATGCTGGCAAAGAAGTAGCTAATGTTCTTCAGCGCTTCACGCAGCTCCTGGAGCGTGCCTCTGTGGATGAGGCGTACCTGGACATCACGGATACTGTGAATCTCCGCATGAAGCAGTTGCAAATTGTAAGCAATTTCTAACAGGGGCAGCACTTCCATGTTCACTTCCACTTTTCACTTTCTCTGTAGGGCGCCTTTGCCTTGAAGCCGCAGGAGCTGGTTAACACCTTTGCCGTTGGCTATGCGAATATTGGGGACTATGTCAACAAGATAACGAATCTATTTGCCAATCCCTACATTAATGATGAACGTTTCCAACTTTCCTACGATCAGAACGATTTGCCCGCCGTCCGCCAGAGCGATATTCGTCTCCTTATCGGAGCGTCCATAGCTGGGGAGGTGCGTGCAGCAGTCAAGAAGGACACTGGCTATGATTGCTCTGCTGGAATAGCCCACAACAAGATCCTAGCCAAGCTGGCCGCCGGCTTGAACAAGCCAAATAAACAGACCATTCTACCGCTGGCGGAAATCCCTGGGCTGTTCGATTCGTTGCCAGTAGGAAAGATCAAGGGTCTGGGCGGAAAGTTTGGCGAGGTGGTGTGCGAGACTTTGGGCATCAAATTTCTAGGACAATTGGTTAAATACACCGAGGGAGAGCTTCAGCGAAAGTTTGATGAGAAGAATGGGTGAGTTTCGTTGCAGTAAATGTCACGAACGAATAAGTCTCATACATAAACTCATCACATTTCAGCACCTGGTTGTTCTACATGTCTCGCGGAATCGATCTCGAGGCGGTGACTCCTCGCTTCTACTCCAAGAGCATTGGCTGCTGCAAGAAGTTTCCCGGACGTAACAATATCACTGGCTTGAAATCTCTGCAGCATTGGCTGGGAGAGCTTTCCATCGAGATCAATGATAGGCTGGAGAAGGATTTCATCGAAAATAACCGGAAGGCCAAGCAGATGGTGGTCCAGTATGTCCAGGACATTGATGGAGAAGAGGTAACCAGCTCTCGGTCCACCTCAATTAATCACTACGATCAGGAAACGCTGGCAAAGCTTGCTCTAGACCTGATCAAATCCAATACTAAAACGTTCCTACGACCTGGAAGCGATGCGGCTCTAAACAATTCGGTCAAGTTTCTAGGAATCAGCGTGGGAAAGTTCGAGACCATTTCAAATGCTCAAAACAGCCTACAAAATATGTTCGCCAATCAGGCGGCGAAAAACAGGCGAATGAGTGGGGAGGAAGCTGTGCAGCAGCCGAAAGTCCATGCTGAAGTCAAGTCCAAGCAGACGGAAGACTCAAAAATGAAGAGTTTCTTCGCCAACTATCTGCAAGGAGCCAAAAAAGAGGAGAAGAAGACCTCTGACCCTGCTCCTGCGGAGGATACGCCTACAGTAGCAGAAGGAGCTCCGCCCAAAAAGAGTTTTTTTGAAGAGTATAAGCAAAAACTTAAAGCCGTTTCAGAAACGGAAGCAGCTGCTGTAGGTTCCATGCAAACCTCCACACCGCCAGCATTGAAAGGCAGTTTTTTTGCCAACTACTTAAAGCAACAGAATGCGGCTAAGGAGCAGCACATCGAGTCGGCGGCCGAAGGTCAAGAGGATGAGGAACAGACTCAGAAACAGGAGGTCGAGGCGACAGCCGATAATGCCTCAGATATGCAGGGACTGGCCGAAGAACTAGATGCAATTGAGGCAAGCAATTCCAAGGATTTCGATGATGACACCCTCGAAGATGATACCCTCACATCAAGGGCCAACACAATCGTGCCCCCGGAGGAACCACCCTCAACATTTCAGCCACTCACGGAAGAAGAACTCAAACCATCCACATCCAAGCGTAAATTTGATCAGCTCAACAACAGCTCCTCAAGCAGCTACAAAGAAAGTTATGCCGAGTACGCCGTGCCCGAGATACGACCAGATCTCCTGCCCATGGTCAAGTGCGATCAGTGTGGAGCGAAAATTCCCGACGATGTCAAGGTCTTGCAGACGCATCGCGATCATCACTTTGCCCAGGAGTTGAGTCGCCAAATGAGGACCGAGCAGCGCGAGAAGAGACAAAAAAGCCCAAAGAATATATCCCCCAAGCCGACACCGCCGAAAAAGCAAAAGAAGTCTGCTGGATCAGCTAGCGGAGGCTCCTCGTCTTCCTCCACTGCTCCTGCCAATAGCATAGCCAAGTTCTTCAATACCAAGCCCCCTGCAGAGCCGCCTTCGAGCAACTTTCCCACTCAACAGTGCTCCGAGTGCAAGGCCTACATCAAGAGCGTCGATATGCCCGAGCACTTGGACTACCACATGGCCAAGAGTCTCCAGCGTGAGCTCAACCAGCAGGATCTGCGTAGTCGAGCGGCTGCCCGCAGCAAGGAGACCACCTCTCCGGGCGAGGCCAAGAAGCAGAAGCAAAAGCAAAAGCAGCTGAATGCTACCATAGCCAACACATCCGTCAGGGGCAACAAGCCAATTACCCAGTTTTTTACACAAACCAATTAATTGTTCAGTTTAAACCTTAAAATGATGAATTATGAATTCCAAATCAAACCATGAGTATACGATATTAGCGTAAGATAGCGCCTAAGAATGGACCACGTGCAGCTTCAGTTTGTTTCTTTTTTTTTTTTGTTACACCAAGTATTATTTTCATATTGAGAATCTAGAGGACAATTTGAGCTATGAATTTTTTGTTATTTGTATTTTTTTTTTGTTCTAGCCTTAGCGTTAGGTTTAAGAATAGAATCCAATGTTGACCATTAATATCTGCAATAAATAAATCGATTGAGTTTCTTTCCTGCAAATTTCTTGGCCTTGCAATGGTAGATTATACGAGTAGTACATATAGGTATGATTATTCTTATGATTATACTATAACACAATTAAAAAAAAAACAGTGTCTTTGTATTTGCAGGCTGCCCTAGTGTTTACGATAATGCTATGTTTACGGAACAGTTTGTTTCGGGTCCTGCTGGCTCTTCGAGGATTTCGTCTTCACGCCAATGGCATCCGCCTCCTGCACTGTGGTGGGCAGAATCACGTTCGTGGTTTCGGGGAAAAACAGGGTGAGGCATCCACTCACGATGGCTGCGCCCGCAAAGAGCATGGCTGGGGCACTGGCATAATACTTGGCCTACGAGTGAAAAGGGTAAGAGCTTAGTAATGATCTTACAACAACCGATGTGCATACTCACCAGAAGAGGCGTTTGAGGGGCCAGCATAGAGCCGAATCTGCCCATCATGGAACAGAAGCTGAGCAGACTGTTTCTTAGATTCGTTGGATAGATCTCCGAGGCGAAGAAGTAAAGCACCTGGAAACTGGCCGTGATGGTCAGCTTGCCGACCAGGAAGAGCACCAGCTGCAGCACGGGCTGATCTGCGCCGGCGAAGATGGTGCCGATGCAGCAGATGCCACTGAATATCATTAGCCCGCAGAGGGAGTAGCGCCTCCCAAAGCGGTCCATGATGAGTAGCGGCAGGAAGAACCCGGGAATCTCCACGAGCGCAATGTAGGCAAAATTGTTGTACTTATTGCCATCGAGCAGCACAACATTCAGACTCAGGCCGTAGTAGACCAGCACATGGACGATCCAGCAAAGGGAACAGTTGGCTATGCGCCACTTGAAGTTCTTGAAGGCCTCGCGAATCGGAAATCTGCTCTCCGCCGACTGCTCCAGCTTGTCCCGATTGGCCAGGATCAGCTTGTCCAGCAAGCTATCCGAGAGCTTCCGCTTGTTCACTTTGGCCGCCCGGCGCAGAATGCCCTTGGCCCGTTCCTCCTTGCTCTGGCTGAGAAGCCAGCGGACGCTCTCCGGCAGGATCCAGAAGTAGGCCAGCAGAATCAGAGATGGCGTGTAGGTGATTCGCAGGAGAATACGCCAGTCTGGGTAGGCCTTGGCAAACATGGCCAGCGCCACCTCCCCCACGGCATAGAAGACCGTGATTACACTGCAGGCCAGCACCCGACGCTTGGGACCCACCAGCTCGATGCCAATCACGAAGCAGGTGGAATACAAAGTGCTGCTTGTCATGTTGTCCAGGAACTCAAAGACCAGGAACCAAATGTAGCTCGGCGAGAAGGAGCGAACGATGCCCAGCACGGCGCCCAAAATTCCGCCCAGGGCGATGGAAAAGCTGCGTCCATAGCTGGAAGAGAGACACGATCACTCAGAAGGGGAAGACCATTACTAGGGATATTCCATTCTCACCGATCTGCCACATAGCCTCCAATCGGAATGCCAAAGAACTGTCCCACGTTGTTGATGGTGCCGACCAGCGACAACTTCCATTCTTCATCGCAGTAAATGCCAAACTACAGAAAGATTCCATTCCAAAGTGTCAGTCTTAATCGTTACACTGAATTGTAGCCAAATTTGCCCATGATTACGCGTACGAGTATCTTTAATATACATAGCTCGTTGTTCCCATGCCGTGGCCTGACTTATGAGGCACTTATCTGTCAGCCACTTTTCTGTCATCCCATCCCATTCACATACGTGTCCAATTGGGTGATAAAGAATGTCAGCTCATCAGGCCACTTGAGCAACCGCTTCTCACTTCCCACTTCCCACTTGCCACTTTCTACGAGTACGACTACGAGTACGAGTCTGTATGCTGATGGCTACGATTACGATCCCTTATCGTAAAAACCTTCAATAAGACGAGGCCCATTAAAACTGACCGTGACAATTCTCCTCTATTTATCTTGTGCGTAGTGGATTTGTTTGCCTCCAAAGCTGGGGAAATTCTGTTTAACTTTGGATCTGTAAAATATAATCCCTCTCTCGCTCTCTCTCTCTCTCTCTCTCTCTCTCTCTGTTGATTCAGCTGACTGGGGCATTCTGCGTATGCTCAAGAATATACGATATTGCTTTGAACTTGTTCTTCGATTACGTATTATAATCAATACCTGAAGCAATTTACAACCACTTAAAGCAATGCTGTGTAGACGGTAAACCCATTCGGGCCCCGACTGAGTGCCCACTATTTGATTAAGATTGTAAAAGACTCAGAGCGGCTATCATCGATGTACTCGAATTCTGGCGGTAGCTGTCTAAGTCATAGTTTAGTCATTGAACCCGTTCTGATTGTCTAGATCTTGATAGGGATGAGAGCAGAGAAGAGCCACCTCGATGCGCTTCTGATGCTTCCCATTTCCCGGCTGTTGATCCAGGCAACCGGGAGCCATGCGCTGCGTGTAATCGTCTGACATATTATCAAAGTCCAAGTCTGCCAGAGTCTGGCATACGGTTGTCGTAGTACCTGATAAGGAGTGCGGAATGCACACCCCCCTCATTGCCGATGGCACTTTGATACTCACGTCATTGGAAATGGTTAGCTCCTCCCTGTCGCGGAATACGAATTTATTGCCGGGACACGATTCGACGTGCGCGCTATAATGCTCGGCCAGGCATATATCCTCCCCGGCCGACTGGTTCCACTGGGGCAGCTGATCGTTGCTGTAGCGGTTGCACTGGTCGAGATCCTTCCCGTTCCTGGGAATGCTGAACTCCGTCCACGGCTCAACGTAGGCGCTCTCGGGCGAATCGCACTCTGCAATGTGACATCTGTTGGTGGTTGCGGATAATTCTATTTTCGGTAGCACACAACTAACCCACAACAAGGTCGCGGCATGGCATTAACTTCACCTGTGCGTCACAGTGCTGGCGGTGAAGACGTACGTCACTGAGAACATCGCATGGAACATCATGGGCAGGCAGATCAGCAGGAAGATGATCAATTGGAAGCGGCCAAACTGCCCCAAATGCTTCAGTATGGCATCTAGGGTCACTTCTTCCGGATCCTTTGGTGGCGCTGTTGTTTGGACCTCCACAGTCGCCTCTGCGGGCGGCGGCGCTTCGCTGGCTGCCATTTCTTGATTGTTGCTGCTTATTTGTTGACTTTGGTGATTGGGGCACAATTACACACGTTTTGGTTTATTTCTGCACCCGCTTTCCGTCTATTTCGGTTATTTTCATTTACGAAACATATATGTATATTTATTTTTATATCCGAAGCCGAAAACTTTAACGATGTGCACGGGACAGAGTCGCGCAACGAACTGCTACCAGCGATCAGCGATCGGAGATCCCCTAACGATCCAAAACAAAAACAAAAAACAACGAACGAAGCGATCACGATCGCAGCCCGACAGCGAATGAGGAGCTCTTGCTCCACCGGCCAACTATTGAGAGCCTCGACCGCACACACGAGAACAGCCTTGATAAGGCCTGTTTTACGAATCTACGGATAGGCTCTATATAGGCTCGTTTGAGATCCAGCGGTGTGTCGGTGCTGGATTGGTTGCGGTGAAAGCGGATTGCGGATTGCGGACTGTGGATTGTGGATTGCGGGTGTGGAGTTCTGTGTAGATATGGTCAGAGTCCAAAGAAGAGGCCTTCCAGCTAACTTCCCCTGAGCATTCGGATTTTTCTTGGATATTTCTCCTATTTAGTGGTTTAGTGGTTTAGTGGGCCAACTGTTCGACGCGTTTCCAATGGTCACGTGCCGCAAACGTGATAGTTCCATAGTTCTTACTTAATGCCAGTTCTTTTGACAGACCTGCTGTACATGCAGACCAATTTGGCTGGGGGCCAAACAGCCAGGCGAACGAACTTGTCGCACGACTATCGCAATCTATGTATGCACACTTCCATATCCATTCATTATCATAATCATGACCAGGGGTAAGTGGTTTTACATTAATGCAATTATTTTCCAGAAATAAGGGTATTTTTTTGCCATAAAAAGCCCCAACTGTAATCGAGTTTTCACTAAAGTTAAGTGTTGAGCCCAAAACCCAAAGCCCAAACCGGTTAGAACTCGTAGTACATGTCGGGGGGAACCATATAAATAATAAGTTTAACTACTTTCTGAGATCTAATTGCTATGCAAAAATACAAAAGCGGAGACACACAGGCTTGTTTTTGTGTGAGATTTGAAATGGGATTTTTCGTTTTTTGTTCGGAACGTGTTAGGGCTGATAAACGTAACGGCATTACTCGGAGATTCCTAGTCAGGTGTTAGGCTGTCAAAAGGCAATTAAACGAAATTCCATTATGGCCAACACAGGTTCCACTTATCGAAGGCAATAAGCGGCTAGCAAAACGTTGCATGTCAGAGCTGAAATTTGAATTCTGTGCTCCCGCTTTCCCGCTTTCCCGCTTTGCCGCTTTGCCGCTCCCCCGTTCTCTTTATTTATACATTTTGTTAACGTTTTTGTTAATTTACGAGCCTGACTAATATAGGGGATCTTTATGAATGAAGTGCGGTGGCCTTTTCGGCATCACGTCCATTGTTGGCCGAAACACTGGGACATCATGTCGTATACTCATTATCATTGCCATTGATATGCTTTTGCAGACCTTCGTTGACTGAATTGTGAATTGTTTATTAATTTGATCAATACATCGGAGAGGCTCTGCCTTGAACGAGGCCAACAACCAGCTGAAAGGGAAATGCATCTTCGATGCCGCCTCCAATGCCTCCCGAATGTAAACAACGGTTCGTCCTTTATTTTTGAATATATCTAAACACATACCTTTATTAATGAATTCAAAAATTGTGTTAAATTCTTGTTTTGGTTTTCTGTTCTGCTTCTTTTCTACTCTTTCCATGCTTCTTGTGGTACATTTTCATATTCAATTTTCGGCAATTTTCATGACTCTCGCACAGATACCCTGTAAGAGGGTGTCTCTTTTTTTTTTTCTCCCGAACGCTTCTGCTTATTCCTCTGTGTGGGTTTTTTTTGCTATTAATTTTATTTATTTTTATGTGACGTTTTTCTTTATTGGTTTTGTTTTGCTTTTGAAGTAAAAATTCGACTCAAAAAACATTTATTCAAAAGAACGCAAACACATTTATGCATTTAGCTTTCAAAAACCGTTCTTCAATTTTACAATTCTCATTTTGCAATTTGTTGGTTGGGTAAATTTGCAAAGTGTTTTTTTCCGTGTACTCTTCATGTATCTTTTCCTCATATTTGTTGCTTTCTTTTTATGTTTGAGATATGATGGATGATGTGTGGTATATGGCAACTAAATTAATTTGCGTACATGGTTTTTTGATAAAAAAAAATATTTTTTTTGCGATATATGCCTTGTATATATTCATATATACATATATATATGTATATAGTATATATATATATATATATATATATATAGATGTATATTTATATATATAGGTGTGTATATGAGTTGTGAATAAATACATATGCACTGTTAATAATAACCATAATCAGTAATCAGTTTAAATGATTTCACTTAATAGATTCATTTAATTCTATAAATTCAATTATAATGCACTTAACTTTGCGTGTGAGTGTGTGTATGTGTGTGTGTCGTTATTGCACGTGTTTGGGTCGCTGTGTGTGTGAGTGCTTGTGTTGCGGGGTTACCACCGCAAAATTTATCCTCCACCGGGTGACCCCGATGGATGCGATGCCTATGTATGCCTATGTTTGCCTGTGTGGGTGTGGTTAGTGTCTGTTCTGTTCTGATCTTGAATCGTGTCCTGTTTTTGGGGGTTCTTTTGCACTCTATGTTGGATCGCACGTACTTACACATTGAGTTTGTCCTCCATATATATGTAAATACATTTTTAAATATAATTTATATAGAATTGTAAATATGTTGTAAATAATGTTTGCTTTTCGAGTTTCATATCAGTATTTTGTTTTTCTTTTTGTTTATCTCAACTCGTTTTCTTGTACATTTTGCCATTATTTAAGAATTCTTTAATACCTTTTTTGTTGCTTATTGTATGCTGATTTTTGTTCAATAAATGTTCAATATGTTATGAGTGGGTGTGTATGTGTGTGTGTGTGTTTGTGTGTGTATTGGTTGCTTGATTGGTTGGTTGGTTGGATATGATGTGTGTCTAATTCGTAGTGTATTAATGTGGTTTACTTTGAGTTTTGTTCTTTAAGTTTTTGTATAGAGTCGTAATACACATTTAAGAATTATTTAAATATTATTGTTGTACACAGATAAACAAGATTAATTTCCCTTACGGCTTAACATTACGTTTACTTTTGCATTTGCCATTCTAACTTTCCGTCGTTTTTTGTGAGTGTGTGTGTGTGTGTGTGTTTGTCGTGTATGCGTGTGTGTGTGTGAATCCTTAGTTTTCCATTTGATACTCGTAGGAAGCAATCTAAATGTTCCTGTTCTCAGTGCTGCTACCATCAATCTGAACATCCTGTAAGTCCCTGTGTGTGCCGGGTCCTGTTCGGGTTGCTGTGCGAAATAATCGTGGATCTTGGCCTGATCTACATTTACGTGGGTTAACCTAGCCTCTACACTACACTACACACTTGGTTCACATCAATAACTAAGCGGTGCTGAGTGCTTACTCGTACTATCTGTCCGTCTTCGTCTCCATTTCCATTTCCATCTCCATCCCGTCTCCATTTCCGTCTCCATCCTTGCCTTTTCCAGATCTCATCGTTTCCATTTTGAAAGTTTCCCAAAAATTGGTGGTTCTGAAACCAACAGTTTGTTTGCTTATTTGGTTGCTGTTAATGTTTTTTGGTTGGTGTACTTTTTATAACGTTGAAACGTTGAAATGAAAACGATTACGCAAAAATTTGCACTAAAAATTGGCACTAACTTTTGGTTTTGTTCTTTACCTTTTCCCCTTTTGTTTTAATGTTTATTGTTTTTGTTTTTGTTTTTTTTTTTTGTTTGTTTTGTGTTTTTTGTTTCTGTTTTTGTTTTACTTTTACTTTGCTTTAACCACAATAATAACGCAAATACATTTTATTCATTTGTGAATATGGCTTAAATATATATTTATCCAAAAACATTTCTAGGCATTTTCAACTTGAATTTTAATAGCCATAACCCCTCTCTATTATGACATGTGTCGTGTTTTCTTTTCTTTTCGTTTTTTTTTAGTTTTTATTTTTGTTTTTGTTTTGTTTTTATTTATTGAAGCTCTAGTTATATGATTGCCTTGCAGTTTTCTTCAACTTGTAAATATGTTTAGTTTTCCTTAGGTTTTCTTTCATTTTCTCAAACATTCATCAATTTATGTTGCCTCCTATTTACGTGCCTCTCTGGTGCCTTCAATCGCAATCCAATTCCAGCAAGGTACCCGCAGCTTTGCGCAAGCAACGCGTTGCACTCTAAAATGCACCAACATAGCAGACATGAACGGAGACACTCATTCGGCCAAAAAGAACAATGGAAATTTGAACAATTTATTGTTACTTTGCTATCACGTATCGATAGCACACGGGTCTACGGGTCTACGGGTCAGCCGTTGACCGAAATTTGATTTGCATTCTAATTTGAAAAAGGTGAAAAAGGTGATTTCTTGTGTGCAATATCTTTATTTTTTCGCTGCAGATCCGGAATATACATATACTCGTATGTATTGTTACATCTACATGGCTTCTACGCGAATTCTACACGAAATGATTTAGCCCGAAAGCATGCAACGAAAGTCTGCGGGAAACCCAATGGGAAAACTGGGGTGCTTGGGGTGCTTTGGGTGCTTTGGGTGCTTGGTGTTCTCAAATTCAAATTCAAATCTAAATCCAAATCCAAATCCAAATTCGACTTGAATCGTCGCGCATCGCAAACGCAAACGCAAACACATCGTTTGGCACACTTTTGGCAATAAAACTGCGAATACAGCCAGATTGAATTGAATTAGTCTGCGGAAATGATAACTCATTGCCTACACACATCTATATGGTTAAGGTTAGTAATGATTTGTATTTGTATTTGTATTCGTATTCGTATTTGTATTTGTATTTTGGTTGTTTAGTTGTTTAGTTTTCTTTAAATAAGCTCCTTTAAGTGCTTTGCCTTGAGCAAATGTAAATGTGAACATTTAAATTTAAATGTGAGTAGCTTGTCAACTGTTGTGAATCCATTGAAATTCGTATAATTCCTATGTGTTGTTCCCCCAAAGAAAGCAAAAGAATTTACTTTGTGTGCTGCTCCACTGCGCTGTGCTTTTGGCCAGTTGTTGTTCATGTTTTTGTTGTTAATGTTCATTTTGTTGTTGTTGTTGTTGTTGTTAGTATCTTCTACCTGTCTTCTTCATCAGAGTTTACCATCACATCAGCTTTTTTTTCTTTTACCCGTTGTTTGGCACAGTTTTCATGGATCTCATGATATTTGTATTTAGTTGTTGTTAGAGTTAAGTAGCCGTCTACAAACTTCGGGAC